GGGGCGGGGCCGCGGGGCCGCCGGGAGACAGACGGCGGGAGACGGCGGGGCGGGGCTGCGGGGACGCCGGGAGACGGCGGGGCGGAGCTGCAGTGATGGCGGCTGCCTCCTTCCCGGAGCTCAGTCATCTTAGGCAGCCGGCTGCGGGAGTGATGGCAGCAGCCCCTCTCCCCCCACCTGGGAACTCCGCGGTCTTAGGGAGCCCCCAGCTGAGTGGCCGCCGAGAATCTGCACAGCTTTGTGCTCGGGTTCCACCCTGGGCTCATGGGGGTCTCCTGATCCACGGAAAAAGCATGGCTTCCCAGGCAGGGTGGCATGACCGCTCACGGCCCCCTGCCCGTGTGGCTCAGGTGGGCCATCGCACCATCCTGCTTTTCGTTGCTCTCCGTGGGTCATGCCAACTGCCTAGTCCGTTCCCGTGACAGACCTGGATACCCTGGTTGTCGGTGCGGGATTCACCCCCCACGTTGCTGCTTCTAGGCGGGAGACTCTGCCTGCAGCAGAGTCTAGTCGCCATCTTTGCTGTTTAGATATTATTTGTGTTAAGTTTAGATTTTATTTGCAGAGAGCGTACACTACAGTTTTTTTTTTTTCCAGTTTTGGTTTCGAAAAATTGTGTGCCGTCAGAATCTTTAAAATATTTTGTTTAATACATCAGTGCTAATGGTTCAGTTTAGTGCTTTTGGGATTAGAAAGTCATATATTTTGGAATCGTTTACCTTTACATTTTTCAGTAAATGAGCTTGAGGATGTTTTTTGGTACGTTTAACTTTTAATACAATAATAATTTATTTGGGACGTGATATGCAGTGGACTTCTAACAATATTGTTTTCAAGTAGAGCATAACTCCAAATGCTAAATGCTTCTTTTATTTATGCATTCAAAAATATTTATTCAACATTGGTTATGTGGCAGCTGTTATTCTAGGCTTGTGATAAATCAAAGACTCTACCTTCATCCAGCTTATATTCTAGAGATAACTGAAGGCAATAAACTGATAAACACATAAGATAAAACCTGGTATTAATAACTATAGTGAATAAAAATAAAGGCAGGGTGAGGGGGTAGAAAATCACGAGGGAATCTATTTTGTACTGGCTGGTTAGAAGAACTTGATTTAGAAGGTGAAATTCTATCACACACATGAATGATGTAAAGGCATACTTTTAGGTTAGTAGATAAACAATTTGTGATTCATACTAACAATGATTAATCCAAAGTATGATATTGAACTTAGTAGAATTCTTTGTTTTTCAAGGTTAAATTTAACATATGTTAAAAGACACCAGATTTAGTATATGCAGTCAAACAATGATGTACTATGATTGACAAGTGTCTCTCATTTGTTACATGGAATTAAAAAGACAAAATATGTGGAGGTACATTTTCTATTGGAACAAATTTATATTTACAGGTGTATATTGAACTAATCACAACAAAAATATGAAATATTTGAATGAACAAGAATACAATTTTTGCAATTTCTTAATCTTATGCTACTACTACTGCACACACACACACACACACACCCCTATATGAGTACATATTAGGTTCTGAGTTACTTTCATTCAATACATAAATTTAAGCATAAAGCCAAGCACTTGAGAAAAAAGCAAAATATAATAGGCGGCAATTTACTCTTCAGACTTGCCCTTCCCAAATACCTTCATGAATCCTCTGGCCACTTCTTTGTTGCGGAGGCTGTAGATAAGGGGATTCAGCATGGGAGTGAGAATGGTGTAGAATACAGACACCATCTTGTCCTGGGTGGGTGAACGTTCAGATGTGGGTCGCATGTATATAAACATGGCTGCTCCGTAGTACATTCCCACCACCATGAGGTGGGAGGAACAGGTAGCAAAAGCTTTGCGACGACCCTCCCCAGATCCCATGTGAATGACAGCCAGAATAACTCGGGCATAGGAAGCAATAATAATCGCTACAGGGAAGAGAAGCATAATTACACAGCAGATGAATATCATCCTTTCAAACATCAAGGTGTCATTGCATGAGAGGGTAAGAAGGGCAGGTACGTCACAGAAAAAGTGGGGTATTTCCCGGGCACCACAATATGAGAAGGACAGTGCAACTGCATCTTCAATTATGCCATCAAGTGAGCCAAGAATCCAAGAAGCAGCAGCCAGGAGACCACAGATTTTTTGGCTCATGAGGACTGGGTATCTTAATGGATGGCAAATGGCAACGTACCGATCATAGGCCATTGCAGCCAAAAGGAAACATTCAGCTCCAAGCAGGGACACATAGAAGAATATCTGAGTTCCACAACTTGCCAGAGAGATAGATTTTTTTCCAGAGAAGTAGCTGAAGGCCATCTTGGGTACAGTGGTGCATATGAGCATGAGGTCCATGAGGGACAGTTGGCTGAGGAGGAAGTACATGGGGGTGTGGAGCTGGGTGTCCAGGTAGATGAGGAGAACCATGGCAGAGTTTCCCATGAAGGCCACTGAAAAGATGCCCAGGACCAGAAAGAAGAGGAAGGTGTGGGTGGGGCTGTGATTGAAGATACCCAGAAGGATGAAGTTAGAGTTGAAGGTCTGATTCTCCCATGCCATGATCAAGATGTTCACTATGGAGAATACAACATGTAAGAAATAACCAGAATTATGTCAGAAATATCAAGGCTTTCCCTCCAAGAAAAACATCTACAAAATGTAAATGGGAAAATTATTTCTCTGGTTAATTATTTTTATTTGTAGACTAGGAAATTTAAGAATTATTTTTAGCTTGATGTGATTTTTTTAATGCAAAGTACATAGCTAATGGGCATGATAGGTTTCATAGTAAAAACATGGTATTTTTCTTGAGTTCTATAATCTAGTTGAGCAACAAGTCAACTAAAAAATGTAATGTACATTATCCCTTTATAATGACAGGAAAATCATGAAAAGACTCATGAATTTGGGGAAATTTCATTACATTAGTATTATATTTCCCAGGGAAACTAATAACATCACACTATAATGCTAACAAAATTTCATATAGGAAAGTATAGAAGAAAACAAATACTAAAGTGATACATGATTAGTCAAATTCCAGGTAATAAGAATAAATTAAAATACCAACATGAGGAGTATGTTACTTGATTCTTATTGCTAGTAACAGTAAGTTTCAGCAGAAGGTCCTCACCAATATGCTCTTTCCTCATCTAGTCCCTAAAAATTAAGTGCGTCCAAAAGACAGGCATAGTCTATTTTACTGAAGAACCAGGTTACACGAGAGTGTCAGAGCATATTTCAAACTCTTTTAGCTGTGTGACGTTAGATGATTATTTTCTCTAAGCCCTGTTTTCTACTCTATAAATTTTGATATTTATAATATCTATATTATATGGTGTTATGAAGACTAAACAAAATTAGGTTTTAAAGTATTTAGAACATTACATCGATATAGTTTGTATAATACAAACATTTGAAATAAATACTATTTGAGAGAATACAGTATATTTCTAGTTTTCTTTAGAAGGACACTTTTAAGAGCCTTCTTGGGGCTAAAAAATAGCATCTTTTTAATTCTCTATTTTTACATTCATTTGGTTTCCTTCTTGGCTTCTTTCTCCATGGATTAAGGAATTGGCTTTCTTTATTTCTCTCCTAATATCCTCTGAACAAATTGTTCACATTGTCTTATTAATTTTAATACTGTTTATCTACATATTCTAATTATAACTCTACAGTTCACTACATCTTAAATTCCTAATCAGTTCTAAATTCTCTGAAAGGTTTCTTACATTTACAATGCTTTGAAAAAACTCAACCCATATTGTGTGACTTACACATGCTACTTAATTTTTTCAGATATTTTTACTTTTCCCACTTTTCTTAAAACAATTACTAATTATATTTTCTAAAACATTCTTCTATCATTCATCCTGGTGCAAACCTTTTATTGTGCATCCCACAGAAAAAGTCTGAAACATTATTTTTAAATGTTCATAATTTCTCATGTTTGTTGATTAACACTTACTGCCCAGTGAAAATTACCACATTACTTGACTCAATTGCAGTCCCTCTAATAAACAATATGTATTTTTTATTTCAAGTTTATTCATGTTGTTATACTTGTGTGAAATTATCTCTCTCCCCATGTTTTGAAACATAAATACTAAAAATTTGTGGAAAAATAAAAATTTAACATATCAGCTCCTAAAAATGCTGCTTTTTCCATTTTGTACAAAACAATATTTCAATCCAACTTGCTGCATCCTTGAAAGATAATAAGAACCGCAAGTATTGATTCTTTCAAATTGTACCTAAATTACATAATTAACTAGTCCATAAATTAGATAAGTAATTTAAGGAAGCTGTGCACCCTGAGGAACTCTGTAGATCATATACCTTTTGATGTGTATTTGTCTTCTTATTTATCTTTTTGTCTTACTTATCTTTTTATTCTTCTGTTTAACCACAACCTTACACACATAGCTTGACTCATAGAGGGAACTAAAATGTCCTGGTCCCCATTATTAATTAACAAGAGGACCTGACTCTAATTAGGTTTAATTTTACATCTGAGTTTTTGCTCACAACTGTTTCCCATGCCTCCGGTGTTAACAACAAACTGTAGCACATTTTAATTCTATACCTTGTCACATTCTGTCCACATATGTAAAATTATCTGTTCAGTTTAGCCCATATCAGGACCCACCTGAAGAATAGCAGCGTGGGATAGTAGAACTGATCAAGACTAGTTGTTCTCTTATTAATCAAGAAACATTTTTCAGTTGTTAGTTTCTAGCAGAGAAGTGCAATATCTACAGTATGGCAGATGGAGAGATTCAGCCTATATATTCCTCTAACTTTTTCATTGTTCAAATCTTTTCAAGGTTAGTTTGCATAGAAGAATATATTTATATTGTGTTATATTGTATTACCTCACTTTTTGCCAAAGGCAATCTATCAAATTATCATTTTCTTGACTGTCCTATCAGAGGAGACTAAAGTAAATAGTATTTAACGGTTGTCAAGGCACTTATTTCTGAGCACTCAGCTGTTTCTTTCACTTCAACCTCACATAAGCAATGCTTTAGTGAAAGCCAGTTAAGTGATGTTAGGAAGAATGCATTTATTTAGAGCTATATTAGCATGAAGGGTTAGTACAGACATTGAGTTAACACACTTAAAACATAATGTGTAATACAACATTGTTTATGAATTTTGCAAAAATTTAATCACAATTTATATCATAGATTCTTGTGAAATCTCTTGTAGTATGGAATTAATAACTTTTGTCTCAAATAATGAGATTTTGAATCTAAGATTCAACTTTAAACAGTTTGTGTTTTTAATAATTATAAGTATAGGCTAAAAGGGGTTCTACAAAGATAATCTGAGGAGAAGGGAATTTAAGATAGTGAAGTGAGAAGGGAGAAAAGAAGTAATGCTGACTGAGTAAAGACAGAGTGTCAAAAGGTAATTCACGCTGGAAGAAGAAATGTTGGTGCTGTAGAGAAACTGAGAGGAGCAGGGTGCAAAGGAGTGAAAAATGAGGCAAGAAGCAGTCCTTAAATGTTGATAGCTAAGCTCAATGTCCGCCCTAGATGTACTGCATTGTGCCAATGGACAAATCACTCTCCCACTTCCAAAGATGCAAAAACCAGGCACTATATTCTAGACAAAAACGGCATGCAAAAACTCTCCTTGCTGAAACTTGGAAATTATTCATCAAATACACCCTGCTGCCTACAGTCAGAAACTTCAAATCACATCCCACAAAAAGGATTGTTGATGTTTTTTAAAAAGCTTCATAAGTACTTCTGAAAAAAAAAAAAAAAAAAACATTTGTATCTATACCCCTTAAAGATGGTGGATAAAGCTAATCTTATATTCTTCAGCCTATCACAATACATTATTTTTAAATTTTTCCAAAGCACCATTTGATTCAATTAATAGCACTATCCTCAAAGGCATTCAATGTCTTAATCTTTTTTTTATAGAACAGATTACATTTCTGATCGATCTTGTTTGTGAGGAATTTCAGAAAATTGTTCGAGCCTTTATTTCAAGTCATTTGTTCTCTTTTTCTAGTACAAACCCTTTGCATTCCTACTTACAGATCTCTATGATACAAAAATGTGAGCTTAGATCTTTCTCAGAAGGTTTGTCTTGCTTGAAATTATCTTTCTTTTTCGTAATCCTTTACATCTGTAAATCATGTGTCTTCTTTCAGTTATATCACACATACATTTTTCTCCATGCTTGTTTCATCATTCCGTAGATAGCAAGTTCTGCAAATATTCAACTCACAGAAGACACGTGGCAAGTATCTGTTTTACACAAATTGCAAATGTCAAAAACCTTCCAATTAGACAAACCTGAGCTTGCATTCTGCTCTGTAACCAACAATTTTGCCACCAGGAAAGTTAAACAATATCTCTAAGATTTAAAAAAAAAATCCATCAACCACAGAGTTGTTATAAAGAATAATAATTTATTTAAATTATTTCCCTTAAAATAACTGTATCACAGTATGCATTTATCAGATGACTCTTACCATCATTATATACTTCTTTTCATGCATTTCTTTTGGTAATCTTGCAATAAGCTTCACTGTTATTCACCAGGAAATATTTTTGAAAATATACTTTTTTCTTACTAGATTGTTGATAAGCTATATGCTTATTTCTTATATGCTCTTAATCAAACAAGTAAGAGCTACACAGTGAAGGAGTCCATACATGCTCCATAATTATTGAAAGCATGAACTAATAGACAAGATCCGTTGGAGAATCTTACAATGATTCTTAACTTATAATAGTTTCTATTGCTGTAAATAATACCTTACACTGACTTAGCACATTCACAGGTTTTATTTAATCTTTTTCAAAAATATAGAAATACACTGCTTTACTTTCGCAGAGACTATAAAGAGGTGTGTTTCAGATTAACGTGAAACGTTTACTTCCCTATTCTGAGGACTTTAAAATAGCTTAATTTTTTATATAGAACCTTTGAATTAAATGCAATTTCATTTGTTACGGTTGAACTCCAGAATGCCTTAGGTATTTTGTACTATACTCCCTCACCTAAATCTTACTTTCCAGATGTCTTCGACTGGGTATATTCCTTCAAAATCGCTGAAAATGTTTAAATTTCTAGAGATAACCCTTGCAACACAATTATACCGAGTCCTCTGTGATTCAATTTTTCAATTCCTCCAGGATATTTGGTCCCTTGACTTTAATTACAATACTTTGAGTTATCATTCACTTTTTCTTGTAAAGTCTCATATAATTTACCTTCCAACTTGAAAGTATGATTCACTGATGCTTAAAAAAAGGTTCTGTCACTTTTTTGATGAATGATATGAACTACCAAGCAAGATGGCAAAATAGGGAGTCACCACTTGTGTCTACCACCACCACCACAAGAATGTTGCATGTATCTACAAACAAAAGTCTCTTTGTAAGAGCCTTGGAATTCAGGTGGGAAGCTGTGAAATTCTGCTGGAGCCCAAGACAGAGGAGGTTGTTTTGAGAGTGAAGACCCACACCCAAGTGGCAGACCCACCAATTTGGCTCCCAGGTATAGGCCTGGAAATGGCCCCTTTCCACCAAAGGGCTTGGCTATAGGCCTGTTCAGCCTTGTGTCTGTTACCAAAACCATCTGCCAAGGGGTCCAGGAGGAATCATGCACAGTAGTGCCTTAGCAGACAGACTTATCTGTGTGCCTGCATCAGTCTCAGCAGTGGTCCTGAAAGTTTTCTTATAACTTGCCTCCAGCTGCTCTTGGTTGTAGTTCCAGCTTTGTACTATTCACAAAAGGACCAAAAGGGAGACTCATTCCTCTGTGCAACCAGGACAGGCTTGTATTAATACAGATAGCAAAGGTTCACATCAAGTGTCGCTGACATCAGGGAAATTTCCAAAACCAGTTACTACTGCCTAAGAGTGGGTGCCATTGACAAAAGCTTTCGAAAACCTGTATTCACTGATGAATACTGGCATTGTGTCATGTCAAAACTGGGACCCTTTGCAATAATTCAGCAAGGAATAAAGCAGCCTGCAAATGCAGAATGTGTGAGTCATGAAACGTAATAACCAGCTCCAGAGCGTCACATTATTTGACCAAGCATAAACTTTACAAATACATCATTCTGTTTTGCTAGTTTGTGTTTGATTCCTTTATGCTCTTCTCGAATTTTCTCATCACATTCTTTCAGAAAATGCTCAGAGATCAACTCAACTTGTCATAGAGTACACAAGGCCTGTCTTTTTATGTTTTTTAACTTTTATCATTAGGGGATTTTCTTTTTTTGTTTGTTTGTTGTATTTTAAGTCTGGGGTACATGTGCAGTTCTTGCAGGATTGTTACATAGGTATACACGTCATGGTGGTTTGCTGCATCCATCCCCTCATCATCTACATTAGGTATTTCTCCTAATGTTATCCCTCCCTAATCCCCCCACCCTCTGGTATTCCTCCCAACCCCCCCCAACAGGACCTGGTGTGTGATGTTCCCCTTCCTGTGTCCATGTGTTCTTAATGTTCAATACCCATTTATGAGTGAGAACATGTGGTGTCGGGTTTTCTGTTTTTGTGTCAGTTTGCTGAGAATGATGGTTTCCAGCTTTATCCATGACCCTGAAAGGGACATGAACTCACCTTTTTTTATGGCTGCATGGTATTCATGGTGTACATGTGCCACATTTTATCTAGTCTATCATTGATGGGCATTTGGGTTGGTTCCAAGTCTTTGCTATTGTAAACAGTGCCTCAGTGAACATGTTTGCATGTGTCTTTATAATAGAACGATTTATAATCCTTTGTATATACTCAAATAAACAGAAATATGAACAGAAGTGTCTGTTCATATGCTTTGCTCACTTTTTGATGGGGTTTTTTGTTTGTTCATTTGTAAATTTGTTTAAGTTGTTTGTAGATTCTGGATATTCGCCACTAAAACAAATGTTTATTGCTGCATTTTTTTCCCAGGAAATCATTTTCTTTTGAAGTACTGCAATTTAGTTGGAAGAATAAAACATCTACTTCTAAAAATACATAAAGAAAGACGTGAGAGTAACAAAAAAATGTAAGCTTCTGTTATCTCTAGAGACAAAGAACATACATTCAGGTTATGTGCACACAGACTTCTATTAATCTGTAATATTGTATTTATTATTTTATTTTATTTTTATATGTTATATTTTATTTTCAAGGTGGAGTCTTGCTCTTTTACTTAGGCTGGAGTGCAGTGGCACAATCTCAGCTCAACTACAACCTCCACTCTTAAGTTCAAGTGATTTCCTGCTTTTGCCTCCTAAGTAGCTGTATCTGGGACTACAGGCCTGAGCCACTATGCCAAGCTAATTTTTGTATTTTCAGTTGAGATGGGGTTTCACCATATTGGCCAGGCTAGTCTTGAACCCTGACCTCAAGTGATCCACCTGCCTCTGCCTCCCAAAGTGCAGGGATTACAGGTGTGAGCCACTGTGCCTGGCCTGTGTATGTTTTATTTTAAGCTGGTGATGAGTACATTGGTGTCTAGTTTGTTTTATACATTATCTTCTACTGAAATATTTCTAAAGATACAAAGTAGCTATCATTGTAATTCAGGCTATGAACCATTTATGGAAAACAGTACAATTATCTCAGTAAAAACAGGACATCATTCGGTACAATTCAGTGAAAATTTATTGAACAAACAATTGGTAAAAGAAATAAAATGGGATTTTGCTAATGTGCTGAATATAACTAACAAAACTTCAAACAAACACTATAACTAATGGTAAACTATATTGCTAAAGGCTTCAGGTGCTCAATAATATTATTCTTCAACATTCTAACTATATATATGGTAATCAAATGATGTAAAGAAAAACATAAAATCGGGAAGGCATATAAAGTTGTTTCATCCATTGTAATATTTTTTCTCTGCAACAAGGAATATAAAAGTAAAAATAGTATTCTTTGATTTAAGGTTTATAAGCAACAATTAATAGATTTCTACATATTAACAAAAACAAATAGAAGGAGTAATAGAAATAATAATCTATACACTAGAGCAACAAAATATAAAATACCCATAAACATTTCTATTTTATAATAATAACTTTTAAAGAAAACATATACAGTACTTTTAAGGGATAGAAAACATATTAAGGAACATACAAATAGAATTATGAAGGGAACCTCAAGATGTTAAAAAAGCCAATTCTACCCAAGCATATCTTGCTTTGATGATGGAGCAGAAGGAAGAGCGAAGATAAGCCATAGATGAGGAACAATATTAGCCCTGGAATGCCCTGACTGCCATTCACTAGATCTGCAACTTTAGGCAATTTACTTAAGCTTCTTTATGTAAAAAACTTAGTTTCATAATGTAAAAAGAAAGACAATATAAGTAAAGATAATATATAATAATGTATACATCTGTTTAATAAGGGTATCTGACTTAAGCTTCTTAATGTAAAAAAAAGTTTTATAATGTAAAAAAATGACAATATAATTAAAGATAATATGTAATAATATATACATCTGTCTAATAAGAGTATTTGACATACACAGTGGTTGTAGGTGTTATGTGAGTTTACAAACTTTTTTTTAGCCACAGTGCCAGTTATAGAGAAAGCACTTGGTATTTTTTTCCTCATTACATGAGAGAGAGGGAGAAGTTTCAGACAGTTCACACTAATCTACAAGGAAAGAGGCATCATTATCTTTGTAGAATTTTCAAGAAAAGAAAGCTAATTTGGCTTCATGTCCTAGGAGTGGAAATAGAAGTTAATACAAACTTTTATAATTAAAGACAGGGGAATGGATTCCCCAAGGGCTAAAAATTTAAGTTTTTGTCTTTTCATTCATTTGTCAATAACAATATTCCAATTGTACATTAGTTGCATTTTTTTTCTGATGTTGGGAATATAAAAATATTTAGAATATCTCTATATTTTTGCCTTTCCTGGAACCTACAATCTCACTGAAAATATGCACTATTCAGATCAGTACTAAGAGGTAAGTTAACCAAACCCAAGCAAGACTGTGTATAATTAATGCCAAAATTATGGCTGAACATGAAGATGATTGATTTCATCTGTTAAGTTATTTTTTGTGCTAAGAATTTTATAAATATTATTCTATTTTTATCTGTAGAATATTACCTTGAGAAATGTAGTACAACTTGAGGCAGAAGGGGTGATTACCTGACCCAGCTTATCAATGTGCAAGATTGGATTGAATCCATTATTTTGTTTTTTAATGTACTGGTATTCCAGATTTGAAAAAGAAATTTATAGTGAATAGGAATCAGAGGAGAAGAGTAGCAGATAGAACATAACTGATGGTTTGAAAGTTTTAGCCACATTCTCTTCTCTTTTAATAATTGTAGCTCATGCAGGATGATAATCCCTAAACCAATATCTAATATCCAAAACACTTAAAAATCTGAATCTTTTTAATGCTGACATGAGATTGTCAACCTTTTCCTTCCTGATGGTTCAGTGTACACAAACTTTCTCCTATACATAAAATTGTTTTAAAATATTGCATAAAATTACCTTCAGGCTATTTGTATAAGGTATACACAGAACATAAATTAATTTTTTCTCTACATTTGTATTCTATTCCAAAAATATCTTATTATATATATGCAGATATTCCAAAGTCTGAAAAACATTTGAAATCTGCAACGTATCTAGGCCCAAGAATTTTAGATAAGGAATCCTCAACCTGTATTAATGAATGCTTTACAGTTGTCATGTGTTCTTCTAAGACATTTACACATATTATTTAAATGTTTTATTAAACTTCAAATATACAAAAAGTTTATTTACAAAAGACATTTTATAAAATGCTTTAAAATGTTACCAGTGTTTTTGAAAAACAGTTTAACTCTCTCTGATTATATAACCTTTCAGGCCCATTTTGTAGGTAATCATTATTCCAGTATTGCTGTGCTTCACAAATGATTTTTATATGTATGTTTTAATTTCTCATAATAAGATTCATGAAGTTGTTCCCTGAGATCTACTTTGTTAATTCAACATTCTATTTGTGAGACTCTTCAATGCTACTTCATGTAGTTATGGTTATAAATTCCATTGTCAGTGCACATGCAGGTTGCATTTTTATATTACAAATAAAGTTACTATGCTCATTATTGCTAATATGAGAGATGTGTTGCTTTGTTTTGTTTCCTGGTCATTCCTATTACAAAAGAGTAAAGTCAGTTCAGCAACCCCAATGGATTACACAGTGGGTTACACATGCTGTCTGACACATAATGCTTAATCTTTTTTTGATCAAATTCTGGCCACTCAGTGTCTCTTTTCCATCATCTGACTCAGTGACTTCTCAATTTCTGAACATCATTTTAATGGTTTCTCTGTTGCTATTGCTCCGGGCATGTGCACAGTACCACAGTGTGATGAAATCTGATATTTCACTTCCAGGTGTGATAATGTTAATACATCAAAAGACATTTTAAAAAACTAAATATATGCACCATCCTTTTATAAAACGGTAGAGTTTATTACAAAACAAACAATGTAGATTAGATCAATAAAAATGGAAGGATAATATTACAATTAAGGAAAAAAAATACTTGGTAGGCAAAGTCTAATCCAGAGTTTAAAATGCTGTACCTCATTATATGAATACTTTTCAGATGTCAATAGATATTCTAAAGAAATTAAAAACAAGATGTCATAATTTCAGATCCATTCTGACAAAGCTTCTTTTTATATTCCTCCTAGTACAATGCTGCATCTCAAAATGTGCTGTTCTGTCTGGCAGTGAATAGTCCTGGGTAATTTGGAGTTGCAAAAAACATTTCACCACAGATCCATTTTTATAAGACTACATACAAATACCTCTCTTGGAATCCCAATTTTATCATTACTGCATTTTCAGATTGTTTATATGCTGTATAACTTACACTGAGCGTCAGAATTGGGTCTCATATTCCTAGTGCCTGAAAGTAAAAACAATCTGTCATATATATATGAGACCCAATTCTGAAGAAATTAAATATTTAATTTTCTCATGAGTAACACATTATTTCTCTTTATAGAACTTTATTGAATAAATGTTCACATAAATCTTAATATTGAAGATACAGGGCAATCTAGTGTTCAATATTTTCAATTTTATGACATAAATTGTTAAAAATTGCGATATACATTGCCACATTCTCTGTGACAAGACAAACTCAATGAAGACAATTTTAGTACATGGTTATGAAGGGAATTTTGAAGCAATGAAGGGAGGTGAAAAATACCAGACAAAATAAGTGTGTATTTATATACGTTCAGCCTTAACTAATGTAACTGAGAAAACTCAGAGGGATCTGTAGATTTACATTTGTCATTCGATTTTGTTTTAATGACTCATCATTCAGTGCAGTTTAAAACATATGTGGTAGACATGTCTAAGTGATTGAGTAGAATTATTCAACATTTTATGGCAATTTAGTGACTGGGAAGGAATGATTCTCAAATGTAAAGAACACTTCGCCAATGTAAAAAGCAGCACACTTGACCAGATAGCTTCCTTCTTGGAGTACTATTGCAGACTGAATTAAAGAAAAATTATGGTGGAACTTTGAGGTAATAGTTTTGTTTGGATAAATTAGTGTACTACAACAGTTAACAAGTTCAAGGTAACTGAGAAGGCTGTGGTATGATGTTCAGAATAGGTGGTTCCATAAAGTAAGTTGAGAGGAGTTATTTTCTTAAAGTGAATTCAGCTCATAAGCACTGGAAATTACTGAGGCAATATAGTCTTTCCCGCTTATTGACCTTAGAAGCCCACCTTCTCTTGAGGACAACACAAGGCAACCTTGTGGCAGGAAACCCCAAAATGAAGATTCCAGAGATGCCCATTTCTGATACTCAAGACATTGACTAAAGCAGGATCTGAGCTACCAATAATCAGGTTTATCCAACTTCTTGATAACTATTTGTCTTAAAACCAGAATGGAGTAAAGTTGAGGCTTGTTTCTCTCTTCATGCTGATTGACAAAAAAGATTTGTTTTTCTTTTAGAGATTGCAATTCTAATCTCATGAAAGTCACATAAGGAGATTTCTTCTGTAACTTCCCAGCCCTGAAGAGGCATTTTTTGGTATTCCCAGGTCACAGCTGTTCTTGAATTAAAATTTAACACTACTTTTGAGTATTTTTTTCTTTCTTACCCACAATATTATTCATAATTTATATAAATAAATAAAACTCAAAAAGATATACTTTACAATCTCCCTATAGAAAAAAAATGTATTTCAACCCATGAGGCCAAATTCCAGTTTCCATCTCCTCTGCAGATTTCTTCTAACTCTCTTGCTGCTCCTGGATTATTCGGCTTTCATTGTTGTTGTTGTTTTTAGTCTCTTCATAAAAATGTGGTGCATGGATAAATGAGAAAAAGTACATTTTTGTCTAATCAGTCTACTCACCAGGCTTCTCTTTCTGCTTATGACATCAATTTTTACTGCCTGGAATAATCTCCCTTCACATATTGGCTTTGCTCATACATTTATAATTATCTCATACAATAAAATCTAAATACCACAACATACGAGAAACATAACTCTAAATTTTAAAATCCTATGTTCTCAAAATCTTATACACATTTCTATTTTTTCTGTGTACGTCCTATTTATTGTATTTCATTTTGTGGAATTCACGTATGAATAACCCTTTCCTGTGATCTGGTCTGTTTAACTTTTTCAGAGACTTTGCCAAATGCCGCTACAAATGTGAGGTTTTCCTTGACTCCCCAAAGCTGAACATACTAGTGCAATTCTAACACCCTTCTTTAACTTACTTTTCTCCAAAGCATTTATCATCTTATAACATAAAGTGGTTTATATGTCATCATCCGATCACAGTCTCTATGACCTGTATGGACAGGGGCTTTGATTGTTTTGATTACTGTGGTAGCCACAGTGCGCAACACATAGCCAGGCTTCATAAGTGTTGTTTGAAAGGGTATATTTCATGCTTTTCTGATTTTCTGTTTTTCTTTGCATTAATTCTCTAGAGGAGATATTTTGAGTGTATTAGTTTCCTAGGAATGCCAATACAGAGTATCACAAACTGGTTACCTAAAACAACAGAAATTTAGTGTCTCACAGTTCTGAAGGCTAGAAAACTGAAATCAGGATGTCAGCAGGGTCAGCTACTTCTGAGGGTTCTAAGAGGATGAATCTGTCCCACTTCTCGGTCCTGGGTTCTTTTTTTTAATTGCATTTTAGGTTTTAGGGTACATGTGAAGAACATGCAAGATTGTTGCATAGGTACACACGTGGCAGTGCGATTTGCTGCCTTCCTCCCCTTCACCTATATCTGGCATTTCTCCCTATGCTATCTCTCCCCAACTCCCCACCCTCTGCTGTCCCTCCCTTATTTCTCCCCAACAGACCCCAGTACGTAGTGCTCCCCTCCCTGTGTCCATGTGTTCTCATTGTTCAACACGTGCCTATGAGTGAGAACATGCGGGGGTCCTGGGTTCTTATGATAACTAACAGATGTTGGCATTTCTTGGTCTGTAGATGCAACACCCCAATCCCTGCCTCCCCCATCACATGATATCCCCCGTGTCTCCGTCTTCACATGGCCATCCTCTTATCAGAACATGAGTCATATTGAATTAGAGAAACCCACTCTAATTCAATATGATCTCACCTTAGCTAATTACACTCTCTATGTATTTCCAAAAAGACTCACATGCTGAGTATCTGTTCAGGAAGATATATAACTAAATCCATAACACTGGGCTATAGATATAATGGCCTAGATTTTAGATTTGTATAATTGAAAATCTTTTCAGTGTATCTACTTACTATATAGAAAACTACTATAAAGTATAGATCAAATAAATTGCAAAGTAATAGAAAAACACACAGTTTTTGTTAACAGTGGTAGTAAAAATGCCAATTATGTGAGCAAAGGCACAAATTTATTTTCCATTTGTAGTATTGTGTTGGTTTCATGCTGACTGAAGCTGAATTTCTCTATCAATTTATCTGTAAAAGATGTTATAAGAACTGTCTGTTTCCTTTGGAGACATATTTAAAAAAAAAACTCCATCGATCATTTATTAGATATTGTTATTCTAATTTTTCAAAGGAGAAAAATGATGCTCAGAAGAAAACCTTAGGAAAAGCTCCGTAATTTTATAAGTGAGGCAGTGTTTAAAGAACATATTTTGTTGTGATTATATACTTCTTGACCTTTTAGTTTTCTACTTTTGTTCATGCTGTATTGATCACTGACCTACAAAATTTATCACAACCGCATGCTTTACAAGGCACTGGTTTACCAAATTAATGAACTAGTTTTGTGGTACTAGGCAAAAAGCATATTCATCATGCCATGGGAGAATCAGACCTTCATCCTTCTGGGTATCTTCAATCACAGCCCCACCCACACCTTCCTCTTCTTTCTGGTCCTGGGCATCTTTTCAGTGGCCTTCATGGGAAACTCTGCCATGGTTCTCCTCATCTACCTGGACACCCAGCTCCACACCCCCATGTACTTCCTCCTCAGCCAACTGTCCCTCATGGACCTCATGCTCATATGCACCACTGTACCCAAGATGGCCTTCAACTACTTGTCTGGCAGCAAGTTCATTTCTGTGGCTGGCTGTGCCATGCAAATTTTCTTCTATACATCACTGCTTGGCTCTGAGTGCTTTCTTTTGGCTGTTATGGCTTATGACCGCTACATTGCCATTTGCCACCCTCTAAGATACACCAATCTCATGAGGCCCAAAATTTGGGGACTTATGGCTGCCTTCTCCTGGATCCTGGGCTCTACAGATGGAATCATTGATGCTGTAGCTACATTTTCCTTCTCCTATTGTGGACCTCGGGAAATTGCCCACTTCTTCTGTGAGTTCCCTTCCCTGCTAATCCTCTCATGCAATGACACATCAATATTTGAAGAGGTTCTTTTCATCTGCTGTATAGTAATGATTGTTTTCCCTGTTGCAATCATCATTGCTTCCTATGCTCGAGTTATTCTGACTGTCATTCGCATGGGATCTGGGGAGGGTCGTCGTAAAGCTTTCACTACCTGTTCCTCTCACCTCATGGTGGTGGGAATGTACTATGGGGCAGGTTTGTTCATGTACATAAGGCCAACATCTGATCACTCCCCTATGCAGGACAAGATGGTGTCTGTATTCTACACCATCCTCACTCCCATGCTGAATCCCCTCATCTACAGCCTCCGCAACAAGGAAGTGACCAGAGCATTCCTGAAGGTGTTAGGAAAGGGCAAGTCTGGAGAGTGAGTTACCTAACAAACTTCATGTTTTGGTCTCTGCTAAATTGTTTTTTAAAATGGACTTCTTTTTCCATTAAGTCTTGAAAATAGGATTCATTGTGTACATAAATTTGTAATGTCATATTTATGAGCAACTATATAACTTATTTCAGATATACTATTAAAACTATTTATTATTTTATATTCTGATCAGCTATGACTACAACATAAGACATTTCCAATAAGAATATGATGTTTTTAAAATTATTTTTAATTTTTTATTTCAATAGGTTTTCGGAGAACGAGTGGTGTTTTGTTACATAAATAATTTAGTGGTGATTTCTGATATTTTGGTGCACCCATAACCCAAGCAGTGGTCAGTGTACCCAGTGTGTAGTCTTTTATTCCTCATCAGGCCCCATAGTTTCCTCATGTCCCCAAAGCCCGGTGTACCATTCTTATGCCTTTTTGCATCATAGCTTCATTTCAGCATATGAATGTGAACATATAGTGTTTGGTTTTTCATTCCTGAGTTATTTTACTTAGAATAAAATAGTCACTAATTTCATCCAGGTTTCTGTGAATGCCATTTTTTTTATGATTTAGTATTCCATGGTATATATATATACACCACCTTTTCTTTATCTACTCATTGATTGACGGGCATTTGGACAGGTCCATATTTTTGCAATTGCAAATTGTGCTACTATAAACATGCATATTTGGGTATCTATTTTGTATAATGACTTCTTTTCCTCTGAGTAGATAGCTAATAGCGGTATTGCTGGATCAAAACGTAGATTCACTTGTAGTTCTTTAAGGAATCTTCACACTGTTTTCCACAGTGGTTATACTAATTTACATTCCCACCAAGAGTGTAAAACTTTCGTTTTCACTGCATCCACGCCAACATCTATTATTGTTTGTTTGTTTGTTTGTTTGATTATGGCCATTCTTGCAGGACTGAGGTGGTATTGTATTGTGGTTTTGATTTACATTTCCCTGATAATTGGTGATGTTGAGCATTTTTCCATATGCTAGTTGACCATTTGTATATTTTCTTTTGAAAATTGTCTATTCATGTCCTAGGCCCACTTTTTGATGGGATTGTTTGTTTTCTTCTTGCTGATTTGTTTGTGTTCTTTGTAGATTCTGGATATTAATCCTTTGTCACATGTGTAGATTGTGAAGATTTTCTCCCACTCTGTGGGTTGTCTATTTACTCTGCTGACTGTTTCTTTTGTTGTGCAAAAGCTCTTTAGTTTAATTAGTTCCCAGCTATTTATCTTTGTTTTTTATTGTATTTGTTTTTGGGTTCTTGGTCATGAATTCCTTGCCTAAGCCAATGTCTTGAAGGGTTGTTTCCAATGTTACCTTCTGGAATCTTTAGGGTTTCAGGTCTTAGATTTAAGTTTTTTAATCCATCTTGGTTGATTTTTGTATAAGGTGAGAGATGAGGCTCCTGTTTGTGGCTCACCAATTATCACAGAGCCATTTGTTGAATATGATGTTCTTTCCACACTTTATGTTTTTGTTTGCTTTATTGAAGATCAGTTGGTTGTAATTATTATGGTTTATTTCTGTATTCTCTATCCTGTTCCATTGGTTTGTGTCTCTATTTTTATTCAGTACCATGCTGTTTTGATGACTATGGTTTTATGGTATAATTTGAAGGTGGGTATGTGATGCCTCCAGATTTGTTCTTTTGGCTTATTCTTGCTTTGGCTATGCAGAAATTTTTTTGTTGTTCCATATGTATCTTAGGATTGTTTTTTCTAGTTCTGTGAAGAATGGTGGTATTTTGATGGGAATTGCATTGAATTTGTAAATTGCTTTTGGCAGTATGTTCATTTTTACAATATTGTTTCTACCCATCCATGAGTATGGGATGCATTTCCATTTGTTTTTGTTCTCAATGAGTTTTTTACGCAGTGTTTTGTAATTTTCCTTGTAGAAGTCTTTCATGTTCTTGGTTAGGTATATTTCTTAATATTGTGTGGGTTTTTTTTTTTTTTGCAGCTATTGTGAAGGGGTTGAATTCTTGATTTGATTCTCAGCTTGGTTACAGTTGATATATAGCAAAGCTACTAATTTATGTACATTAATTATGTGTCCTGAAACTTTGTTGAATTTATTTACCAGTTCTAGAAGCTTTTTAGATGAGCCTTTAGTGTTTTCTATGTATACAATCATATCATCAGGAAAGAGCAACAGTTTTCCTTTCTCTTTACCATTTTGGATGTCCTTTATTTCTTTCTCTTCTCTGATGACTCTAGCTAGGACTTTTAGTAACGTGTTGAATAGATATGGTGGAAGTGGGCATCCTTGTCTTGTTCCAGTTCTCAGGGGGAGTGCTTTCAACATTTCCCTGTTCAGTATAATGTTGGCTATGGATTTGTCATAAAGGGCTTTGATTACCTTAAGGTATGCCCCTTCTATGTCAGTTTTACTTAAAGTTTTAATTGCAAAGAGATGCTGGATTTTGTCAAATGCCTTTTCTGTGTCTATTGAGATAATCATGTGATTTTTGTTTTTAACTTAGTATAGGTAGTGTATCATATTTATTGATTTATGTATCTTAAACCATCCCTGCATCCCTGGTATGAAACTCAATTATGGTGGATTAGCTTTTTGATATGCTGTGGGATTCGGTTCCCTAGTAAATGTTGAGAATTTTTGCATCTATGTTCACCCGGGATATTGGTCTGTAGTTTTCTTTTTTTGTTTATGTCTTTCCCTGGTTTTGGTATTAGGGTGATAATGGCTTCATAGAATGATTTATGAAGGATTCTCTCTTTATGTTTTGGAATAGTGTCAGTAGGATTGCTACTAATTCTTTTTGAATGTCTGACAGAATTCAGCTGTGAATCTGTCTTGTCCTGGACTCTTTTATGGCATTTTTTTAAAAAAATTACAATTTCAATCATGCTTCTTGTTACTGGTCTGATCAGAGATTCCATATCTTCCTGGTTTCATCCAGGAGGGTTGTATATTTTCAGGAACTTATTCATCTCCTCTAGGATTTTTAGTTTATGTGAATAAACGTGTTCATAGTAGCCTTGATTAATTATTTGTATTTCTGTGGAATCAGTTATAATATCTCCGGTTTCATTTCTAATTGTGCTTATTTGCATCTTCTCTCTTTTTGGTTAATCTCACTAATGGTCTATAAATTTTATTTACCTTTTTTAAAAACTAGTTTTTTGTTTCATTAATCTTTTGTATTTTTTTGTTTCTATTTAATTTTGCTCTGCGCTGATCTTTGTTACTTCTTTTGTTCTTCTGGGCTTCGGTTTGGATTGTTCTTGCTTCTCTTGTTCTGTGAGGTGTGACCTTAGATTATCTATTTGTGCTCTCTCAGACTTTTTCATGCAGGCATTTAATGGTATGAACTTTCTGCTTAGCACTGCTTTTGCTGTGTCCCAGAGGCTTTGATAGATTTTGTCACTATTATCTTCTAATTCAAAGAATTTTTAAATTTCTGTCTTGATTGTAATGTTGACCCAGTGATCATTCAGGTGTAGGTTATTTAATTTCCAAGTATTAGCAAGGTTTTGAGGGTTCCTTTTGGAGTTGATTTTCAATTTTATTCCACTATGGCCTGAGAGACTACTCGATATAATTTTGACTTTCTTAAATTCACTGAGACTTGTTTTGTGGCCTATGATGTTCTGTTGCTGCTGCATAGAATGTATATTCTTTAATTGCTGGGTAGAATGTTCTGTAAATATCTGTTAAGTCCATTTGTTGTAATATATAGTTTAAGTCCATTGTTTTTTTGTTGACTTTCTGTCTTGATGACCTGTTTTGTGCTCTCAGTGCTCTGAATGAAGTTTCCCACATTATTGTGTTGCCAACTATCTCCTTTCTTAGGTCTAGTAGTAATTGTTTTATATATTTGGGAGTTCCACTATTATGTGAATATATATTTTGAATTATAATATTTTCCTGTTAGACTAGTCCTTTTATTATTATAAAATATTATTTTATCTGCTGTTGATTTAAAGTTTGTTTTTTCTAATATAAGAATAGCTACTCCTGCTCACATTTGGTGTCCATTTGCATGGAATATCTTCTTCCACCTCTTTATCTTAAGCTGATGTTACTCCTTATATGTTTGGTGAGTTTCCTGAAGATGCAGAAACTTGGTTGGTGAATTCTTAGCCATTCTGACATTCTGTATCTTTTAAGTGAAACACTAAATTGAAGAACGCAAGGTGGCCAGCTTGATAAAGAACCAAGATCCATTTGTGTACTATATTCAAGAGAAGAGACTCATCTCACATGCAATGACACATATAAGCTCAAAATAAAAGGATGGAGGAAAATCTACCAAGCAAATGAAAAACAGAAAGATGCAGGGGTTGCAATTCTAGTTTCTGACAAAGCAGACTTTAAGCTAACAATGATTAGAAAAGACAAAAAAGAGCATTACATAATGGTAAAGGGTTCAATTCAACAAGAAGAGCTAACTATCCTAAATATATATGCACCCAACATAGGAGTACCCAGATTCACAAAGCAAGGTCTTAGAGAGGTTTAGAGAGACTTAGGCTCCCAGTCAATAATACTGAGAGACTTTAACACCCCAATGACAATATTAGAGAGATAATTGAGACAGAAAATTGACAAAGATATTCAGGACCTGAACTCAGCACTGGATCAAATAAAGCTGTAAATATCTACAGAACTCTCCACCTCAAAACCACAGAATATACATTCTTCTCATCACCACATGGTGCTACTCTAAAATCAATCACATAATCAGAAGTAAAACATTCATCAGCAAATGGAGAAGAACTGAAATAATAACAAACTCTCTGGGACCACAGCACAATCAAATTCAAAATCAAGACTATGAAATTCACTCAAAACCATACAATTACATGAAAACTGAGTAACCTGCTTCTGAGTCACTTTTGGGTAAATAATGAAATTAAGAAATCAAGAAGTTCTTTGAAACCAGTGAGATCAAAGATACAACTTACCAGAATCTCTGGAACACAAGTATGGCAGTGCTCAGAGGGAAATTTATATAACTATGTCCTCATCAAAAAGTTAGAAAGATCTCAAGTTAACAACCCAACACTACAACTAAAAGAACTAG